AAAAATCCAAAATTATTTCTCGGCAGTGATGATTCAGATGAGACTAGTGTAAATTAGTCAGTGAAACCCACGTGGCTTTACAAGTGTGGTCTTAATTGTGGGTTTTTTAACTTAGTACTGTAAGGTCCAGGTTTTGGTGCCTGGTGGATTCAGGTCACTAAATGAGAGGTTTAATTTGAACATCTGAGTTTAAACTGTAAAAATATTATGCAAAGCTTCAGCACGGCTTAGCAGTTTCTGTGCAAGACAAACATGAATAGAATAACAGGAATATTTCAGAAATAAATGAGATAAATGGAAGACCTGCCCTTGGTCCCTTTCCACGACTCTGGTCTGCATTTTGCATGGGTCAAATAATTTCCATTTTTCCTTTGGGATTTGAGAAGGAATGAGTCTGTTAAAATAAAAAAAGCATAGAAGTTTACCTTGCTCTCCATCTTCTCCAAGAAATTAAAATGGTAATTTTGAAATGGAGTGTGACTGAGACCTGTAAATGTTCTAGTGAAGAGACCTCAAAGTAAGTTACATGAATGAACATGGTATGTTCAACACGGCGTCTTTTCTACATCATGCATTATCATCTTAGATTAAGAACAACATCCCAAAGGCACCCAAATGTACTAACAATACCTAAAATAGCTTTATTTACATCTTTGCTTTTGAGGAAATCTTTATAGAATGTAGAATGATTAAAGCCAGTGTATATGAGTTCCTAAAATGTTTAATATAATCTCTTGAATTAAAAGCAGAAAAACCTCCTCAAAATGGTGATCTAAACTGGGACTGAAATTTTGTTCCTAGGAAAACTATGTTGTGTTATACTTGAAACTTTATGTTGAAATCAGAAAAATGTTCTCCCCCCCATATGTCATTTTATTGATTTGAATAAACATATAGCATTTCTTATAAAAATACACTTTAATTTGGTTGTGTATCCATTGCCTTTGTTAACAGTTTCAATTTTTGTCAGTCCTAACTTCAGCCACTATCTGCTAAAGCTTGGACTCAGGTGGGGAAGTAGTTTTTTACCTTTAGCATGACAGTTTCACTGTAAAGAAGTTATTTCTTTAAAAACATTGATTTCTTTCTATCCTTGAAACATTGACTTCTTTCTATCCTTGAAATGGTAATTCTGTGGCACTTAACTTGATATTATCTTGGTGCTGATGCCAGATTTGTTAAAAAAAAAAAACCAACAAAAAACCCGTTGATTTCCTTTTGAGGTTGGAAAAAGACAGGTTTTTCATCTGATTGTAATACAGTAAGTGATTTAGTAATCTTTTGAGATTCAGAAAGAGAACAAAAGCCATTGTAGTGAAATAATGTGTGTTGGGGTTTTTTAATTATTTTTTTTTCCACCAGTTTCCTCTTCAAATTGTGTGATCAGAAATTTTAACAAAAAACCCGTTGATTTCCTTTTGAGGTTGGAAAAAGACAGGTTTTTCATCTGATTGTAATACAGTAAGTGATTTAGTAATCTTTTGAGATTCAGAAAGAGAACAAAAGCCATTGTAGTGAAATAATGTGTGTTGGGGTTTTTTAATTATTTTTTTTTCCACCAGTTTCCTCTTCAAATTGTGTGATCAGAAATTTTGAAAAGACTTTTTATTTCAAACCTAAATTGGGATGTTCAATGGTTCAGGTCAGAGTGTTTGTAAGTAAATGAGATTCAGATTAGGTATTATAAAATCCTACATGAATGTTAATTTATATCATATAGTTCAGCAAGTCAAAACTTTTGTTTTAATATTAACATAGCCGGCTTGATCTAATAATTACCATTTTGTAGAATGAATAGATACGTTATCTTTGAAAGCAGTTTGTAACCAACCAGCTCTCTAATCCTGTAACTGATGGGATGTCGCTTTTTCTGCGCAATGATGAGTTTTTTAGCATGTGTTGGAGCTGCGCGCTTAGCTGTGGGTTTACTTGGCTGACAAACGCGCCTGTGTTGTATTGCGCTGACTTTAATAACTTCAATTCTGGCAGCTGTCATCGGTATTTAAGGACTTCATCATATTGAAACCGCTTTTAATTAATGAAAGGAGAAAGGCTGTAATGCAGTTTTCACATGCTGACAGATTTGTATGCTTCCTAATGTTTGGCCACGCTTTTCTTTGATGTTCTTTCTTACATATCTTTCTTCTATATCTCTATGTCCCACTGGGGGGGGGTATTCTGGCATCTCAGCACAAAACTTCAGAGCTGTGGTCATTGCAAGAGGAGTGAGGAAAAAATGAAGTTAGTATTTAAATATCTTTTTATATTCCTAGGACTACAGAATACAGCTGTAGATGAATTAATTCCTAATGCTCGGTAGATAATAGTTGCAGAGAATAAACACGTGTTGAGATGGGCTTCGTCTCACTCAGCTTTATATCACCACCGTGTAGACGTGTGTATCTAAGCTAATTGTCTGGGCGCTATTTACGGTCAGTGAAGAGGAATAGGCACTTAGCATGCTGCGTCTCATCTGACCTATTTTAGCCATCTATCTTAGAGGGAGATGAATCACACCACAGAAGTACCAACTTCTCTCCATTGACTCTAAAAAGGATCTAGAGTGACAAACTCCAACGTAGGTGTCTGCACTGTAGAAGTCTTAAGTTAAATGGCATGAACCCCTCCTGCTGGGTTTAACATAAAAAGAACATAAGGGCTTGATACGAAGGCAGGGGGATCAAGCTCCGAAATACTCATTTAGAGCATACTGGAATAAAAAAATCAGAGCTGCTTTGCAAACTGAGCATTTACAATTGCTTTGCCAGGTTTAAACTGTTTATTTACATTTATTAGCAGAGTTGTGCTCCAGCTCAGTGTTGGATCTGAAAAGCTTTAGGAACAGATACGCTCGATCATAAAAGTCTGCAAGTTCCGGTTTTGGGGCAGTTTCAGGATCGCCGTCGTCGTGCAGCAATTCTCCCGAGAGCACAACCGGTCTTGGCAATTTTATACATGATTTGTATTCTCTGAAAGTGCAAGACAGACCTGCTGTTGGGACTGAACGTATTTGATGTGAAAATAAGTGCCCTTGAAATGGGATGCTAACTTTGGCGCTCACATAACTATGATACTGAGGGCTCATCCCTTTAGCGTTATAAAGGCCCACGAAGTGTTAAAGTCCTCATGCTAACCTAGGACTACGCCTTACGAACTAAATGTGCGTTGCAAGATGAACTCCAGTAAAGCTGTGCCTCTACCAAGGGAGACAAGAACTGAAGCTGCGTATGTGTATCGCTGTACGTTTTTATGGGTTTGCGGTTGGGACTTTCCTGACATCTTTGTCGTATGAACATCCCAGCCATAAGCTCATACTATGTAATTATTTTAATAAGAATTTTTTAAAAAATGATGCTTAACAGCGTATTTGGTAGAGCTGACATCACTTGTAAGAGCCTGCAGAAGTTAACCTACAGCTCTTCCCCAGCCGTACGGTGCGTCTTCCTTCGCTTAACAGAGCCTTCCCGTGGCGGGGGGCCTCAAGGAGCTGCCCTGGCTGCTGACCCCTCGAGACCGGCCTTTGATACGGGTAGCTGGCAGCATGGCTGAGTGAGCCGGCTACATTGTGGTGGCTTGAAAGACATTCCCGTGTTTGCTGCTGGTTTGGCATGGCGGCCTGTCTGTTTGTTTTCTGATGGCCGTAGTTTTTGCACTAGCAAGTTTGAGGCAGGTTTAATGTCTACGGTTGAAGGAGAAAATCAGCCTGTGCTAGGAAATACTTTACACTTGGTAGGTGGAAGATGAAGAAAACAGCGTAGTATAAAGTGGATTTTGGATATAAAATTTTGGACACGAGAATTCCAGTCGCACAAGTTTACTATTTTCCTCAAAGCATCCTTCACTAAGGATGTCTGTATGTTAAGTTTTAATTTCATCTGGTGGTTGCTGTAGCTGTGTGCTGACGGTGGGTGAAACTGTTTTGCAGAAGGAAAATCTCTTCTGCTGTTCATCGTCAGTTCTGCGTGATTTGTGTCTGCTTTACAGGTGTCTGTTACACTCGTCTTAAAGGTTGGGCTTGATTTTGCTGGGGCAGAAACTATTTCTTAAGGCTTGCACAATTTCACCTTTTTTTCCCCCCGACTTTTCAAAATGATTTAAATAATCAAATGCAATTTTATATAGAGATGCAGTCTTGAATCTGTTGAAATCTGGTATACGCTATTTCAATGGATATACTATTTAAATGGATATCTGTGAAATTTGGTATATTTAAATATATAAATACATATTATATATAATATATATTTTAATATATCCAGTCAAATATTTAAATGAAATTGTCAGTCACTTGCAGAGTCATACACGCTTAATACAGAACTTGCATTAAACCTATGTGTAACCTAGGCCACGCGATGTGATTTTACGGCTCAGGGCTTTTGAGTTTGAACTTTGGTGTCGTCCTCTGGTAACTACTGAGTTTCTGATACATTTTTGTTATGCATTTGGCATTCCTGTGCACAGAAGAGGTTTGTTGTGCTTATGTGAAATGGTAGCTGTTGATTAGCAGTTTTTAGTAAGCAAATAGCTGGGTATCTGAAGCATACAGATGTTGAGTGTCTTGGTAATGTCATTTGGAGCGCGGTAGAGTGACTTGAAGGGTCTCTGGCTGGTAGAAGCCCCATATCCTTGCAGTTACTACGTCCCTTTCTTGACATAAATGACATCTCCCTGAGCGTATTCACTTATCCAGACCTGACCTCACTGTTCTGCTATGGCCGTATTACACAACTGGATGGAAATCATTTATTATAACGTGATATTGTTATGGTGCTCTGTGGTGCCATCTAATGGAAATAAAGCACTGGCATTCCTCCTTGTCAAAAATGAAAGATGTCCACCTGTCACTATCCAGGCTAATAATTATAGGTGAATATGTGTTAAAAGAAATTATATGAGCATCTTACAAATCTAAACATGAATATTAATAAATCATATACAAAAGCACACAGTGCTTTTCTTAATTTCTTTCTTAATTTTCTCAAATTCTTTCCCTCATACAGGCTCTTGATGGAAATATATATGATCACCTTAAGGATTATTTAATGGCATTCAGCAGGACTGAACTAGAGACATGCCAAGCTGTACAAAACACATTCCAGTTTTTACTGGAGACTTCCAGCAGGGTAAGTTTTTATTGAACGATCCTTTGTAACTGAATACTTACAGCATATATAAGTTCCCAGGCTTAAGATTTGCTTCCAAAATAATGACAAAACTGAATGGTTATTATTTTTGGTTACTCCTGAGCGGTGTTAAGTTAAAAGAAACTAGACAGTTTTCCTGGGGAGAATTTTTCCTGTTGCCACCCAGATTGCATTCTCATGAGTGCATTTACACAGTACAAGGTCTTTAGAGAACAGCAATCAAGAGATGTTCAGTTATACTCACTCTGCATGTTTGGAAAGAGAAATTGCAGCTGAGTTCTGCACTGGGTAATCTGGAACCGCGTTAGTCATCCATCACAGTAAAGCCCTGTGAAACTGTTTGGATCATTTCTTAATAATTGACTGTCAGCTTAAAAATCAAAATATTACGGCGTTTTCTCCTTTGAATTGAGAATGGCAAATACAGAAAACAGGTTAGAGTCTTGTCATAGACATGGTTTGTTTGCTTTGTCGAGCAGCCAGAATCAGGAATACGCGATCGCTTCCAGGATAATTTTGATACTTAAATAATTCATCTGCTGTGCTAAAAAAAAAAAAAAAAAATTGCCATTGAGAACGAGCTGCTTTGGTGCAGTCATAATATTCCTTTATACATATACCGTAACCACCCGCACAGAAACAGAGCTCATTTTATGCAAGGACTTATGTAGAAACAACGTATTTAATACGTTCCTTATTCACCTGCAAGCATGCTGACTCGCACCTTATTAGATATAAGGTGGGTGGATTAAAAATTGGCTTCGCGCTAGCTTGTCTTTGAATTTACTTGGCAGCAACTGTAAAGGTAATGAAAATACTATTTTATCTTCTGTTGGAAAAGGACTTTCAATGATTTAGCTTGGTGTATATCATTCAGGTCGGCTTAAAATATCTTCCCCAAAAATGCTGGTTCTGAATCTTTTAACTAAATATGCTTATATATAATGTCTACGTGGTCATAATTAGTTTCTCAATATTGTATTCAGTGCTTTGCGATCAGAATATTTGGAGTGTTGCCTGTCTGGGACTTTCATCTACCTAAACTGTCATTTCCAAACAGCTCATTTGCACGGGAATACCTTCGTCGTATATTTGTGTGCGCTGAGCTTGTGATAGCTTGCGTTAGCAAGCCTCTGTGTGGCCAGAAGCCTGCAGGTCTGGCTTATTTTATACCGTAACGTCATGCTGTATGTTTGAGGAAAATAGTTCTGTTTCTGCTTTACTAAGCTAGTACAATGCCTGGAGAACGAACAAAAATGTAAATACAGCTGTCAGGTCTGAACAGGATTTTTACAACTGGTTATAGCTCATCAGCGCCAATTTTCTCGCAGTTCAAGAATGCAGAGAAGAATAATTTGTATTGCATTACTACTGAAAACGTGTGTCTTGCTCTGAAATACTAAACAGATTAATTGGTGGCTTATTCCACGGACGAAGGCTTTGCTCATCCTTTCTTTTGAACTTTCAGCGTTTCCTGTAGGTCCACGTTGCAGGAGTCAGCTCAACAGGGAGAGGTGAATCCAGAGTAGAAACTCTACATCAAAAGCTACGCACGTGTTTCAAAAGTAGCTTGAGTGTTAAACATGTAACAAATTTGTTAGCAGTTTAGTAATTTGGAATAAAAACCAGCTTGCTATCAAAGGACAGATTTAAATATTTATTGTGTTTTTTTAATACTTCACCTGTTTTTTGTTAGTTTTAAGTACAAGATCACAAGCTTGCCAAGCTAGGTTTAGAAGAGGCACTTTAGATCCTTGGTAGAAAGCTGTAGTTTTTCCATCTGAACTATACTTCTGTTTACAGGATGGAATTACATTCTATTTGCTTTAGAACGAGACAGGTTGCTTCCCAGAAGTGCCTGCCTACCCCTTGAATGTCGGAGAGCCAGAGGGGGCTGCTTCGGATGGGCAGGGCTGTGTTGTATTCAGCTGCTCAGGAGATTGGCAGTCACCTAATGCTAATGCAGATTGAGGGGAAACGTCTCAAAAACCAGTTTCCTGTATAAAATGAAGGTTTTTCACAGTTTATCGTAGCATCGTTTGTTGCAGCTTTGGAGGTTTTATTACTGCTGGGTTGGGGTGACCCATGTCGTTCCTGTGGCATGTCCAGGAAGTAGTACCCTCTGACACTGGGCATGTGAAAATGCAGTTTAACTTCCTTTTCACGTGAACAGTCTTAATCAAGACTTGTACTTCTCGCACTTCTCTTTTGGAAAAAAATCTGATTTTCTTTGGAACATTTTCTGAAATTCCGTTTGCTGTTTTGAATGACATTTCTGTGATGTTTCTGGTAAGAAGCTTCACCAACCTAGGGCAAATAATGTCATTTATGCACATCTCTGACTATGCCTTCTTTCTGCATATGGTATATATTTAACATTTGATTTCAAGTCTATTTTAACATGTCAGTTGACATTGACTTCATAAAGAAACTGCGTGAGAATGTTGACTTAATTTCTGAATAACAGGAAATGTATTTGGAAAAGTTGCTGCTTAATCCTGAGAATACCGTGTTGCTTAGGAGTCTTTTTCTTTCTAACAATTGTCAAATACATTGTGCAAAATGCTCCGGGGAATTAATTTGCTGGACTTGCACGCTCTCCCAAGTCTCACGTTATGGTAACAGTTGTTCTCATTTATAACTAAGTATTGTTGCTTTGAGGGAAAATTTCTTACGAGCGCTGTTGTGAAGGTGGTTTTTCTTCTTCGAAGAACTGAGTTGCTTTTGAGTTAGAGGTCCACAGTGAAAGCTGCTTGCGTTAAAATAACTGTATAGTTTTTCACGCCCTCAGTAACTACACTTTGGGGTTTTTTCTAATTGAAGCTGGTTTGCCATAGTTACATATATTTGACATGGCACAGAGCTGTGTGCTGCGGTCAGCGTTCACATATATCTAAAGGACTGTGTGAAGACTGGAGCTGTTTGACATAAATGATCTCGATGCCATGGTCAGTGCTGAGCATCATCTGAAGCTGCAGATGATTCCTCCTTTAGTATTTTCCAAATTTCTATTTATTGGAATTCCTAATACAGACTCCCTGTATGCCTTCTCTGTATGTTTTCTATGCATTTGAATGTGTTTACGTTCAGCTGCTCAAACTGGTGCAGTAATGATGTACTTTACTGTTTTAAATGAGTGCATTATTGGCCCTGGAGGACTATTTACTTTCTTTAACTGAAGATTAATTTTTTACAGTTCGGTATTTTGGTAACACAAGCATCAACATTTTGATGCATTAGAGAACATGTATTTACCATTGTACATACAGTGTAATCAGAATTCTCGGTCACATACAATGCTGCTGCTATTTCTGGGTAAATACCATCTTTATTATACACTTCTGTGCATTTAAACCCTCGGTTTGGTAGTAGATTTTTATAATTTCATGCTGCTATTTACGCATTTTCATCAATTGAAGCTGTGAATACTCTCTAGTGTTCTTCAGCGAGTGATACTATTTTTTCATATTGCAATCACTGAGTTTTTCTTTATAAATATGTGTAAATTGTGACATAAGAGATTTGTTTAGGGGTACGTGTCATGCTATCTGAAATGTATCATTAAACATTTAGTAGCTAAAGTAGTTTTGGTTTAGCAAAATGCAAGCTATGAGAGTTTTCTCTGAAAGCAATTTAATATAAAGAGATGAATTTTGCAACTGATTTTGATGCAATCACTGAGTTTTTCTTTATAAATATGTGTAAATTGTGACATAAGAGATTTGTTTAGGGGTACGTGTCATGCTATCTGAAATGTATCATTAAACATTTAGTAGCTAAAGTAGTTTTGGTTTAGCAAAATGCAAGCTATGAGAGTTTTCTCTGAAAGCAATTTAATATAAAGAGATGAATTTTGCAACTGATTTTGAATGCATTATTCCAAATAGTCTTTTCAGCTCCTGCAGCTAATAATTTGTGTAAAAAATAAGACATCTCAGCTTAAGAAAGAACTGTGTACAAGAGATTATCCACAAGAAGAGAGAAAAATATTTATGGTACCACATACTTGGTAGTTGACTTTTTTCCCCACTTTGCCTTTGTGGTATTTTTCGTTGGTTAATGGCAGGTGTTTTTTTAGGTCTCTCTTGTTCGGTGTGTGTCCTGCCAGTCGCTTCTGAATAGCTGTGGGTAGTACTGCCCAGAATCAGGTCTCGTATTTCCCTTTGTTGCATTCACGGTTCTGCTGCAGATTTGATCTCTGTTTGAAACGCTCTACTAATTTTACTATGTAGCATGTTTTTAGGTTTACAAAATAACGAACTGATTTTACTATAGAGCATGTTTTTAGGTTTACAAAATAACGAATCTAAATGGCATTTGTTATTTTCTCAGGTGGTGCGGGATTACAATCTACAGCTGTTTTTACAGGAGAACTCTGTGTTTCACAAACCGCAGCCTTTCCAGTTCCAACCAAGTGACAGCGACACTGTAAGAACCCTGCTGAATTCCTTGATTTATTTGTTCTGACTCTATTTTTAAGAATGTTGTTATAAATGGGTAAGAGAATAGTGCTCACTGGTATCCCCGTCTGGTTTAACCTCATGCTCTATTTTTGGAAAAGAAAGGGAAAGTGGCCTGATTCCACCAGCTCTGCTTGCAGTAGGTAGGTAATCGTAACAAAAGCATCAAACAGGCTCAACGTCATCCACAGAAGAGCAGAATCTTTTTTGCTTCCCGATTATAGAAGCATGGAATCATTTAGGTTGGAAAAGACCTTTAAGATGATCGAGTCCAACCCTTAACCTAGCACTACCAAGCCCACCGCTAAACCATGTCCCTAAGCACCACATCTACACGTCTTTTAAATACCTCCAGGGACGGTGACTCCAGCACTTCCCTGGGCAGCCTCTTCCAATGCTTGACAACCCTTTCGGGGAACACATTTCTCCTAATATCCAAACAAATACCCACAAAGATTGTGACTAGCAGTCCTGCGTTTCTCTGCTTTCAGCATAATTCTTACTACATTTTGTTAGCTTTTTATCATGCTGGTGCGATTCTTGTAATATTCACTAATACTGGGCTACAACAATGTGTGATGCTATGCCAAATAAATACCTCTAAATTACTCAATGAATATTTATACATACATATAAGAAGTTACTGATTTAGAAAGAATACTGTCAAAACATTGCGTTCCAAAATAATCTCAGAAAATATTATTTTGGTACATATGTTGCTTCCAAAGCAATCATTGATGACATTAAAATTGAGTAAATCATAGTATGTAAATACATTTCCAAACAGCACTTTAATAGAAGTGGATTGTTGATGTCCTGCCAGCATTACTAACGTTATTTTAAGAAATAACAGTCTAAAATAAGTCTAGATCTTTAAAAAAGTTAACCTCCAGTTCAGGTGATTAAATTCAAGAATGAATAGATAGGTATACTTGAATTTCTTAGTAAACTGACTTGGACAGAAATGTCTTGATCTCCAGTTCAGGTGATTAAATTCAAGAATGAATAGATAGGTAAGAGTGATTTCTCCAGACATACTAACATCTATAACACTGTTTCCTTTGCCTTTCCATTTTAACAAACTGTGATTTTGAATTTTCTTCCAGCTCCTTTGTACAGAGTCAGTTATTAACGTAAAGTTTTTGGTTGTTCTTAATACAGTGAGCAGAATCTTTCTAACTGTCTTTGCCCTGCCTTTCTAACCTTTGCTGCTGTGTGTTTTCATCCTCGGGCAATCTCTGCATCTAGAGTTTCAATGCAGTTCAGCTGGTGGATATCGAGCCCTCACCTGTCAGTGCTATGAGAATGACTATAGCAGAGGTATACCCTAGTATTTATGATCAGCCTGTGGCATTTGTGTCGTTATCGGTATGCATGTGGCTCAGGATGCTGAATTTACACTCACGTAGAGGTGGCAACAGAATGCATAATATATATATATAAAATGGAAAAAAAAAAAAAAGCTTTTTCCACAATGAGACTGAAGTTAAAGAAGGAAAAAGCAATTTAACTGTGTTATTTGTGGGGATCGGCTTCACACTTATCTTTTGCACTTGCACAGCATTTGTAATTGATACTCTAATCTTTCGGGGGCATGAATTAAAATTTCACGGCTCAAGATAGCGATGTGTATAATTGGTTACTTCTCTAATGTGAACGGGGAAGCTTGTATAACAACTGGAGGCTATTAGTATGCACTGATGAAATGCAGTCCCATTACTAATTTAATTTTGTTCTCTTTCCAGAGAAAATAAAATAGAACCGTAATTCACTCTTACTAAACTCTTCGACGTTAAAAATTACATGATTCTTTGACATGGCACTTGTGTGGTCTGACAGTGTACACGTGCGCTGCTTGTACTGCTTAACTTCAGGAGCTTTTTAGAAGGCAATGAATGGGTTGTTCAGGTCTAAAGCTGTCTCAGTACCTCATATGCAGTGACTTCTTTACTTGGCTAACCCACTCGGGCTGTAGAATTACTGCATTTCTTCATTGCACTGCATTTTTTGAGCTTCTAGCTGCTTGTGCTGTAACCAGTTTTCACAAAAATAAATGGATTATGCAGGCTTCTTTATGATCCGTAGAATTCTGCGCAGCTAACAGGATCCTACCTGGGCAATTGCGGGTTGTTACACATTCACCATTTTTAATCAATAAGTACAAGAGAATAAGGGCTTTTGCTCAAGCTTTTGAATTTGTCAGAAATTGTATGTTTTCTAATTAATTGAACAACATTTAATTGAAGAACAATTATCAAGCATTCTTTTGCCACATATTCTCTTTGTAGATGATCTGCAGAGATTATCAGTTGGCTTTTAGTTTTTGTGGGTTATGCATGATAATTTTCACACCAGACACTAACACTGAAAGCAATATAAGTAGAGTGATTAATACATCTAATCAAATGTTTAATACTAACCTTTTCCAAGAACAAATTATGGCCTCTCTTCAGACTAAATACCTGATACACCGTGACTGGGGTCAAAGTTTGGAGCGTTTGAATATTACTGGAATGAAATTGTGAATGTTGTAGGGAAGAAGAATGTTATGAACGATACAGATGTGGAACTCGGCTATAGGAAAAGCTCTGAATGCTTTTATAAATTCTAGTTTTACATGGTCCATCTCAAAATTTTGTTCTATGAGGGGAGAGCTGCTGCCAAAGAATAACGTAGAATGGATTGCCATGCAATCCTTGAGTCAGGGGCAAAGCCCACAGCTCAATTTACTTTCAAAATACTCTCAACCTGCACAGTCAGAGCCTCCAAAAGAGACTGTTCCTAAGAAGGGTAGGTATGAAATGGTTTTCCAGCAATTTTCAGGATTTTTGTTTCCCCAACATCACACTAACACTGGCTGAAATGTAGACTCTTTCTTGAGTGTCCACAAAGAGAAGCCCGCTACAAAATATTTTACATCAATCAGCTATTTTCCATTATCTAAAAAAATTGTTTTGAGCTTAACTTTATACATTTGTTCATGTTACTAAATTATTTAGATTGTTTCAGTGTCTTGGTTAATTTCGACTGACAAATTCATTTTTTAGAAAAAAGAAGTTTTAAAAATTTTTTAAAACAAACCATTTTCCTTGAAGGAAACGGTTTGTTTTAAAAGTATTCAGTAGGAAATCATTGATAGATTCCCAGCCAGCTTTAACCCTTTCAATAAATGAATTCACAAAATGGATTGGGCCTTTACGAACAGCAAAATGGAAAAAATAAAAGGGTCTTTTGAAATACCTTTAGCCTCACAAGAAAAACCAGTCAGCACATGCTGACCTTACATGGAGGCTGCTGCTACATTCAATGTAGTGACAGTTTAATCATCAAACATCCTCCCACGAGGCAAGTGGTATTTATTAAGTCTGCAGAAATCTATTGCGTTGAAAACATACTGTCCCCAGGCTTCACAGATAAGCCCTAGCCATAAGAACAGGGCAAAATATAAAGGAAATTAGCCAGCTTTTCTCTCTTTCCTGTTTGGAAAAGATTCTTTTTCCTTGAACCGCGTGTTATCATGTGAGAAAATGAGCCAGACGACAAAAAGCATGTCCATAGTGCGGGAAGATAATGGCAACAAAAAGCTGACACTAAACTTTTGAGGTCTTTTTCCTGTTTTTTATCTACGTGTTGCCTGTGACTATAGTTTCCCCTGTACATTATCGATGCCGTCGTTTTCTTTGAGCACGCAAGTAAAAAAAGGTAGCCAAATCTTATTTGTATGACAGCTTATCGACATGACAAAAATATATTTTTCTCACTGCAAGTTGCAGAAAAACAACATCTCAGTAAGATCGGTGGAAAGTTTTGGAGTTTCACCCCTCGTTACTTGGGTGTACAAGTTTTATGGCTAGATTGTGAGGACAAGGATGAATTTCACTTCGCTACCATATGCAGAATATCTTGAATTTCTGAGCAGCTTATATTAAGCTATATTATATAAGTTATATACGCTATACTTGCAGAAGCACATCATCTTTGCTCGTGGCAAGGCATGTTTTCTCAGCCCTGCAAGTGCTCAGGGGCTTGAAAGTAGACAGAAATCACTGTATAAATGGGAATGAGGACTCAGTCAAGGGCTCTACTTTGTCAGACTTTACTTTTAGCAGGTTTCTGTGCATGCGTACAGAAGCAGAGGTATTTACACATTTCAGCATTTACTATTGAATTTATTTAAATATTTAAAATATATGTAAGACTTATTTAGTATTAAATATGTTTAAATATTTTAAAATTCCTTCATTTTCTTAATAATGTTATATTCCATTTTTATAATTATTGAATATAAATATTTGATGTTTGATATAAATATTTAAATACAAAAAAGTTAATGAAATATAAACTACTAGTAAAAAAAGATCCCTCATGTAAGTAAGCCCAAACTAACAAGGCCAGAGAATGCACTACTTTTTCTGTATTTAGAGTAGTCTGTGCTTTAATACCAGAACACAGTAAAGTGAATGTTTTTAACTATAACTAACTTTTTTGAAGCTAAATACACCAAAAGAAGTTCTGATTGAATTTCATCACAGTATAAAGTATTAGGAATTATTGCTGAGGAGAAGTACAGCCATTCAGGCAAGGAAGTGTTCAGCAGATGCAAGTGGGAGCCTGGCAAAGCTGTAAATTCCCTGTGTAACTAGACATGTCTTGTGTGTGGCCGACATGACTAAACCCGATTTCATTCAATTCCCCCCACCTCAGTCGTGGTTAAAATAAGGTCTGAGATATAATACTCACATTTGAGGCTGACATCAAAAGTTTAATTTGAAGAAGAGGGAAAGTCCACACCTTAGGGTTACTGGCTCTCTGTCTTGGGTTGAATTTTAACATTGTGTCTGGTTAAGTATAATGAGCTGAAATTGGCTCACTACCTAATCGATTTTATTTTAATTTAGAGAGCGTGCTGTTAGCATTTTTTTTTACAGTCAGGAAACACCATGTAACCAAAGCTCTGAACCATTTCGA